GATCTGCGTGAAAATCTGCAAGTCTGCAACCGTCCAGCGGCGCAAAATGAGAAATGAATGAATGCAGGCTACGAGCAATGGTTGATAGGCCTTGAATGACTAGAATCAGGGCCGCCCCTCCCTACAGCTACAGGCCAATCACGCAGGCTGCATGGGGCCCCGCCTTGCGCAGGGAGCCCCGCCCAGAGGGCCTCAGCTGCTGTGCGCAGTTCTCCGCGCACCCCCCGCTGACACGCAAGAGTGAGAGGTGACAAGGGGAGCACGTCTGTAACCCGANCTCAGGCCTCAATAACATCCTGAAAACATTTTCAGAATGTTGCTTTGAAAATGTTCTTCATTTGTTATCATGTAACATTGAGGGAACGTTTTATAAAGAACATATTTAATGTGTTACCCAACAACGTCCAAAACACATCCTTAGAATGTTGCAGGCAAAACGTTCCACCTTTTGTTAACATATCACATTAAAGGAACGTTTTATAAAAAAAACTTTCTGTCATCTCAGGCCTTAATAACATCCTCAAAACATCCTCTGAATGTTGCAGTTAAAACGTTATGTCTTAGTTAAACCTTATAGGAAAATTATTTGAAAAAATAAACATCCTAAAAAGGTTCTTTGAACATCAGATTAAAACATTTATTTAAAATCTTATTAGAACCAATAGGTAAAGTTAGTCAAAGTTGTGAGAACGTTCCTCCGCTAGCTGGGTCTAACCTTCGGTGCGGGTCCCCAGTCCTCCGATGGTGTGGAGATGGATCCTGCTGCTTGGCCAGTAGCCGTCAGCGCGAGACCACAGAGACCCGTCGGCAGAGCTAGCTGTTCAGCTAGCTTGCCTTGTCTGAAGCCAGCCGGTGATGCGTGAATCTCCGCTGCTAGGCTGCTAGGCCGCTAGCCCCCGGCGCGGACCCGCAGTTTTCCGATGGTGTGGGAGCTATCCGGCCTCTTCTGAAGTTAGATGGTTGTATGTGGATCTCTGCTACTCGGCTACCAGCTTTCGGCGCAGACCCGAAGTCTTCCGACGGTGTGGGTAGAGGTCCTGCTGTTAGGTCGGCAGCCGTCAGCGCGAGACTGCAGAGACCCGCTGGTGGTGCTAGCTTTTCAGCTAGCCAGCCTCTTCGGAAACCGGCCGGCGGCGTGTGGAGCTCAGGTCGATGGAAACGACGCCGGGACCCGGACACGGGTGGATATCTCCTGAGAGCAAGAGACACAGCAGAGCCAATAGCCCAATATTCTCCTTTTTTATTTGTGTTCCTTTTTTGTGTTGGAGAGAGTCTGCCAGGAGTGCCAGATGAATGTACTGTAGATTACATGCCGACCATAGCAGAAGAAGTGCTTGATATTCAGCCATGTTGCTGGTGCAAACAGGCCAATCACGTAGGCTGCATGGGGCCCCGCATTGCGCAGGGAGCCCCGCCCAGAGGGCCTCAGCTGCTGTGCGCAGTTCTCCGCGCACCCCCCGCTGACACGCAAGAGTGAGAGGTGACAAGGGGAGCACGTCTGTAACCCGACACCGAAACTAGAGCATCACTCGAAGGTGGGTTATTGTATGAGTCAAATGTACAACTTGCGAATGTTGTATAAGTCAAATTGCCAATTGCCATATTAAAACATCAGCTGCAATTCACGACATGAAGAAGGCAGTCTCTGCATAGCATATAGGCTAATGGAGATGCAGTTATTTCCAGCATTCTTTATTTACCATTAATTCAAGTATGTTATGCCTTTTATCTGCTAATGTGCAGGAGGAAGAGTGATAAACTGTCTGTCTAGTTGGCTTACATAACAGTTACAGTTTACAGCCTAAAAAACATGGAGCATTTTGTCCCCTTTTATTCATTTTTATGTCAATTTGCACATTTCATGGTGATGCTCAGCCTCTCCCCTTAACTCCTAACAGTCATCCTCATGTCAACCACAACACAGAGAAATACTGATAGAAATGTGTGTGTAGTTGCTGATACATTGCTGACAGAGGGAACTACAGTTGCAAGAAAAGGTATGTGAACCCTTTGGAATTACCTGGATTTCTGCATAAGTTGGTCATAAAATGGAGGAATCCACTGCTGTCCAGAAAAAACATTGCTGCACGTTTGAAGTTTGCAAAAGGGCACCTGGATGTTCCACAGCACTACTGGCAATTTTGCCAGTAGTGCTGTGGAACATCCAGGTGCCCTTTTGCAAACTTCAAACGTGCAGCAATGTTTTTTCTGGACAGCAGTGGATTCCTCCATTTTATGACCANACAGACGCAACGTGAGAGAAGGCGGGCCCAGACATCTCGACATCTGGAGGGGTTTGTAGTGGAAGCCCAGTTAGAAAGAGCACGCTTAGAAACAGATGACCTGAGAACACACTCGTTCTATCCTGTTATAGACAGGTTGTTAATGGAGATGAAACGTCGCTTTTCAACAGAAACCAATGAAGTACTGAGAGGTGTGTCCGCCCTGAGCCCCAAACACACATCATTTGGATAAAAAAATGATACTGCCCATTTGTCCAGAAATGACAACTATGGAATCAGTGAGGAAAACCTGTCTGCAGAGCTTTACCAAGTTCGCCGGCTGTTGCAAAGAAAAGAAGAACAGGGACATACTATCACCAGCACCAAGGAGTTTCTATCCCTCATGAGACCATACAGAGATGCATTTATAGACTTGTACAAACTGATATGCATATCTCTGACACTTCCCGTGACCTCAGTGAGCTGTGAGCGCAGTTTTTCTTGTCTGCGTCGTTTGAAAAACGACCTGAGAAACACCAGTGGGGACTCTCGAACCAGTAACCTGGCATTGTTGGCTATAAACACAGTGAGAACAAGGGCCCTGGACAGCGACAAAATCATTGATGCATTTGCCCTCAACCACAACAACAGACGCATTGTTTTGTTATGAAGACGTCTAATGGTAAGTGCATGATGATGCACGCCCTCTGTTGCCTATCATAAATGTAATGCATTGATGGTTGAGGCAAACATTCTGACTGTTTATAGTTATTTCTATGTGGCCTACTTTTGTTTAATTCTATGTTCAGAGCCAGTGTGTTTTACCCGCTGTAACAGTTTTAAATATGCAGTGGTGTTTGTTTGTACATCATTTAAATTAGTATAATCACACTAGTTCTGTGTTCTTCGTTTATTTATGTTCAATACCTGACAAGGTCGGAGATCAGTGGGCAGAACTTCTGAAATGTAGTCACTATACTCAGAAGATTATACACCTACCTCCCTTTATATTGTCCCTCACGTTTCCTCTTCCCTTTTTGTTTTTGTAAATGTTTCCACGTGAGAGGAGTCACTGTGAGGGATACACAATGTAATACTGATTTGTTATATCTGTTGTCAGCTTGTCAGTGATTAAAAGGAAATAGTCTAAACTGTATGCTTGCTCAGGTCTCATCCATCCATGAACAACGCAAAACACAACGCAGAGACCGCTTAATGTTGCTCTCAAAGTGCACCAATTGATGCATTTAACTTCAATATTTTAAATAAAATCTTCACGCCTTCATTGTAACAGTCGCGGTGTACTGTGTGTGTGCGTGTGGGGAGTGTTGCAGTAGAAGATTCAACTGTAGCGCTGGTGCATTAATGGGAAACCCTTAATGTTTGAGCACCCTCTATGAAACGTCAAGCTACCCCACATTACCCCCTAGAGAAAATCTCTGGCGCCGCCACTGCACCCGCCCCTCTGCGGCGGCCACCCCATGGATCAGATTATTCATCTGACCAATGCAGCGGTCCGGATAATCGCTCCCGTCCTGAAGCGGGAGGGCGGGGGTGTCCATCTGAGGGGTAATCAGGGAGACACCCAACACGCCAAGAGTATTCGCCGCAGCCGCCATCTGTGCGCAGAGCCTGAACATTTTATCCAAATATTCTAAGGTGTTGCCGCGGGGGCAGAGGTTTCTTTCCCTCCGCCCAACCAGCTGCCTGCGGAAGCAGATGGGCCGCCTGGCTCTCGTCGAGGGGGGGCATACCGGGACACGCCGTGTCCGAAAAGGCCCTGCCCCCTGATGATACCTGCCATGGTAGGTCTCATCTGTCTGAAAATAAAGTGTATGAGACCTTCCAATCAGGTTTCCGCCCTGCACACAGCACAGAAACAGCACAAATAAAAGTAGCCAACGACCTGCTGATGGCAGCCGACTCTGGGTCACCCAGCATCCTGGTCCTACTTGACCTGAGTGCAGCCTTCAACACAGTGGACCATACCATCCTCCTCCACCACCTCGAGACCTACACTAGGGTGACGGACACGGGTCTGAAGTGGTTCTCCTCCTACCTCACCAACCGGGAGTTCCACATGTCTCTGGGGGGTTCCAGGTCTGACGACACCGCAGTGACATGCGGGGTCCCACAGGGCTCAGTGCTGGGGCCAATCTATCTATTACATCTCGGTCATATCATCAGACAACATAATCAACTTCCATTGCTATGCTGACGACACCCAGGTCTATATCAAAACACAACCCAATACCACCAATACTATCCAAACACTAAACACCTGCCTGGAAGACATCCGCTCCTGGATGACCACCATCTACCTCCAGCTCAACAGCAGCAAAACGGAGGCAATCCTGATAGGCACCACCGACCAGCTTGCCAAGGCCGCCAACATCAGCCCCTCCCTTGATGGTCAGCTCATTTCTTTCTCCTCTGTTGTCACCAACCTCGGTGGTTTGACCCCACTCTGTCTTTCCAAGCCCAGATCAAACATAGCACCAAGACCTCCTTCTTTCACCTGAAAAACATTTCCCGACTGAAGCCCTCACTCTCAATTGATGACACCAAAAAACTGGTTCATGCACTCGTCTTCTCAAGACTAGATTATTGCAATGCACTTCTCTCCGGTCTCCCAGAAAAAACGGCTTTAAGACCTTCTTCTTTCGGCAGGCCTTCCAATAAACTTTGAGCATGGTACACCTGGGGCACTGCCATTTCTATGGCTATCTCCGACTTTTATTTTATTTTATTTTTAATTTTTTAATCTCTCAAATTGTATCAGTGTCCTTTGCAGGCGTTGCAGGCCGGCGACTGGCTTAGGCCGTCCTCGGCGTGGTCCGGCCCCAGGCACTGGAAGCACAGGCGGTGCGGATCAGCCCCCGCAATTAGGCCAGGGCATGTCGGAAAGGTCCGGTGTTCGAGTGTTGAGTCCATGCTTTTCTTATTTCTTTCTTTTCTCGTCTTACTGCTCAGGTTGCCCCGGGGCCGGCTACGTTTATAGAAGTCTCAGTGGATGAATGCTTGCATATGATCAAGGGGTAGTACCCCAATGAGTCCAATAGAGGGCGGAGCCTGTGAGAGATACAGTATAACTGCAGGCTTCACATGTTTGTTATAGAAGGTGATATTTCACTTTTGTGCGCTCATAATTAAAGAACCCCAGCTTCTTTTTATGCATGTATTTTAATTGATGAGCTACAGATCCACTGTATTTGAAAAAGACAAAGGAATAGGTTGACAAAAGAAATCATTTATGTGGAAAATAGACAAAATCTTTTGACAAAGTATTGTTTATTTGTTGTTATTGTGTAAAAAAACACTGACAAAGTCATGATAGCTGTAAACCTCAATGTAAATGTATCCATCTTATATATTTGCTTACTTACCAGGCACAGTCTATTGGACTCTCCGGTCTTCTTGATGATGGACAGAACTTCTGCAACCTCCACAACCTGCTGTCAGGTGAGTTCAGGATCACTTGAAGACTCTCCCCCATGCATGCTTTCACAAATGTATATATTGGTATAATTCAACTTTTTTAAATCTAACATTTAAAGACATTATTGATTAGAATGATCTAATTTGGTCTACTTTATTTTTTGCAGCGAGCGGCCTCCCGTTAGAACCGGGCTTCATGGAGATAACCACTGAATGGAATTGCAAGGGCTACAAACTCGCCACCTGTGAAGCCGAACCAACTGAGAGTCCTTTGAATTTGTAAATGTTGTTTTTCCCAAGTATATAACTATTATTTTATATATTATACATACCTCTGACTGTAGGGTAAAACAATACAATGTTACCATTTCATTATGCTTTGTTTCTTTTTTTGCATCTGAACATGGAGGGAGCCACACCTTGATCAAAAAATGGTTTTATCTATAAGTCACTTCTCTCTAAGAAAATCTTTTTGCTCTCTTTTTCTTTTGTGTTTGGGGAAATAACTGTGGAGAGTGTGCAGTCCTGTCTCCCTTGCCTTCTACCTCCTAAGGTTTTATTCAATTGCTCTCATGAAATGATTTTTCCCTTGAGCGAGAGGCCGACGTTTTTTCTTCTCCCAAAAACTGTTCAGAAATCATAGATAGATCCTAGCCTGGTTTGTATCTGCCAGAATATTCAATTTTGTTTCATTCTGTGACCCGGTAAAGATAGCCAAATCGAGAATATGAATGGTTTGTTGATGTGATCTTATCTCACATGAAATTATAGTGTACTGCTTAATTATCTCACATGAAATTATAGTGAAATGATGTGTACTGCTTGGCATATTCAAAGACCCTGGCCCTAATGCACTGGAGGCAAACAATATTCCCTAAACTAGAAGTCAGGGGAGAGAGAAAGAGATGTTCACCATCACACAGGGAAATACAGTGCTGTGCAGGCGCTAACGTTTCAATTATACATTTCCGTAAAAGATTTCCTTCACTATGTCTTACAGTATCTCTACTCCCCTGATAAACTGATGAAGGACTTATTGTGAGGATCAGTAGAGGGCACTAGTGCAGCGGCAGTCTTTCTTCCTGCAGCGGTCTGACTTTACAAACACCACGGCCCCTGGTAGACCAACACACACACACACACACACACACACACACACACACACACACACACACACACACACACACACACACACACACACACACACATGCAGTTAAGTCCCCCTGAGAGAATAAATAAAGCATGAGGCACTCTGATCCCACTGGGTGACAGATGTCATGTTAATCTGCTGATGGTCCGATGGCTGTAATGGACCTGCAAACATTGTGTTTACCGTACAGAATGCAAAGCAACGTCAAAGTCACCCGCTCAGATGCTTTATGAGAAAAGATGACTGGATGTTTGAAGAGCAAAAATATCCACATGGACTTGTAGAGGGGGAAACAACAGTGTTCTCGTTTGTCAAAATAACATGTTGTAAAATATCATGGATATTTATTTGTAACTAAGGATAAAGGGTTCTTTGTGTAATGTGTTTTTATTTATTTTGTCAGAACCCTTTTCCTATTTGTGAGGATTACCTTGATTATTATTATTTTTGTATTTATTTATTTTATTAATGTAAATTAAATCTGGGAATAAACAGACAAAAAATATGTAAACAAAATCAGTGGTTTCAACAAGTCATTGTGTGTCTGATATATGTCTTCCACGTATAAAAGCGGTTTGAAAAATGTTAAATAATCCTGTTTTGTTACCATCCATGTTTGCTTGCTTGCTTTGTAGCAAGCAGTTAGCATCTTCCTTGCCTTTCTTGTATTGGCACATGAGCTGAACCTTGTGACAGAAACGCACATCCCGTCCCTCTTGTGCTCTCACGTGTTCATGTGCATCTTAGTGCGTTTGCACAATACTAAAAATAGAGACCCACTTGTAAAAACTTTGCTCCATAGCACTACTTGTTCCCCAAAAACCTTATTACCTTTGAAGAAGACGAATTTCCCTTCGCTATTTTCATACACGGCATCAATTTTGGGAGGCAAGCCTTTCCAGAAGTAGTTGATCTGCATGGGGTAACCAGGGACCACCGAGTTGTCCCGTACCCTCCAAAACCACTGGTCCTGTAGAAACACATAAGGTAGAATCATCATCATCATCATCATCATCATCATCATCATCATCATCATCATCATCATCATCATCATCATCTTCTTCTTCTTCATTGTTGTAGCCATGTTTACTCAGGCTGATGATCTCCTCTACCTTGAACACAAAGAGCTCCTGCCGCAGGATGGCCAGGGTGTTGAAGCCTCCGTCACAGATGTTGGGTTTGGAGTTGGGGTTGGAGGGCTTGGCCCCCTGTGGAGGGCGATGGGGTCTGGCATGGCGTTCATTCTTACGGGGGTCTGAAGGAGGGTGGAAGCGAGGAGGAGGGACTGTGGGCGGGGGTCTGGTGGGCTGCGGGGCTCTATCTGGTGGACCTAAAACGATAAAAAAAAGGTCTATAAACTTTTTCTGCGTAAGGTTGATACATGTATTTCCCTTACGATGCTAAATATGTTTACTTTCTTTTTTTTTACCAATGCACCTTTAATGTTGGCACAGATGATGCGTTCGTTGACTCATGTTGGCTGTCCTCTTTAACAGCTGACAAATGTTGCTTACTGGCAAATTACCCAAAATGACTGAATGTTTCAGCAGCTTTTGTAATAGTGACTAAGTCAGTGCAGGGCCTCTGTTTTTATAACATTTTGTGATATGGCTTCAGGAAAGTAAATGTAACATGGCTCTTAATCTGCTGTCAAACTATTAGAATTTAAAGAAAAATACATTTTTTATGTCAATGTCTAGACAGAGACTATAAGAAATGTAGCAGAGGGTTACCATAGATTTTCTGGATGCCCTGTAGGTCATCGTGAGGTAGTTTGAAGTTCTCTGTGTCCATGTACTGGTAGAAAGGAGCCATGATAGCGGTCGGGTCATTCGAATGTTCCAGACCGAGGGCGTGGCCCAGCTCGTGGACCGCAACCAAGAACAGGTCGTTACCTGGAGGGGAAAAGAGGGGAAATGATGTTAATGCCAAAAAAAACTCTATCATATACAGACAGTACTTATATGAGGTGGAGACAAATGCATATGACTATGTTTGCTGTGATCAAACAATAGAAAACATGCAGAGACACACTTCATTAACACAAGAGATAGGTGGTGATAAGCACAGAAAAACATCATTAATAATAATGTGGGCCTTTACGTTTCATCACCTGTATCTTCCTTGAGATAAATTGACTACCTTAGGGTTTTGGATTATGGGTTGGACAGAACTGAGCAATTATTTTACTTATTATAGGAAACCCATTAAACACATAATTGACAAATAATAGGTTGATTAATCAACAATGAATGTAATCATTATTTCCAGTCCTCTGATGCACACTGACTTCCATTGAGCTAATGCGGTGCAATGTAGTGCAGGTAAAGGTTTTTGGAGGTAAATTGATTTTTTTGTTGTTGCTCTAGATATAAATATGCCCCATGTGAGCAGAGGGACACACTTATGTTATGCTCAAGTTACCAGAAAACAGTGTAAATACAAACATTCATGCAATGCACCTGAACACATTGGCATAGCACAAGGAAAGATTATACACCTATTCCATATCACATTAAAACACACGCAGACAAATGAAAGAACAAAAATGCCATGGTCAGTGTCTCTGGTCAGTGCTCAGCTCATGGTGTCAACTTGATTTAGAAAGAACAACACCATTTACGTACAGCTTGCGACTGAAGCTGTTCCCAGGAGATGGTTGCCCTTTAAAACATGATATCCACTCCTGCCAGCAGCGCAGCACAGACCCACCACTGACCCTCAGCCAGCAGCTAAAAGGTTACACCTCCCCTTCCCCCATTTATCTTACACAAGCAGCCTCTTCCACCAAACCAAAAAACGTCTACCATAAAGACTTAAGAGACAGGTCAGAGCTACCATTAGCACACATGTCAACATGCAACATTCACAATTACACCGCTGTGAAAGCCCATTAAAGGTTGCACAGCTTCCCAGACCCATAAGCAGAGAAAGGAGCTTCAGCACTCCACATGGATAACCATGGGACACTGCGCAAGGGTGAACATGAATTTGAGTTGGGAGTCTGAGACAATTACCATTGGAGAAGGAACACAAAAGAGAGGGAGACAAGGAGGGGAGCTGATGGGTGGCAAGCAGTTCCCCAGAACAAACACAGTGTAAGTTGTTACCCTCCTCTTCCACTAATGGGAGGATAAAATGTAAGCGTACAGCACGAGGGTATTAGCAGGAGCAGCAGCCTGGTGGTGCTCTGACAAGCCTGGCGCCCCGTAGGTAGGGTAATTAAAGCCTGTGTGGATGCACGGCTGAGGAAGGCCTCTTCTCTCGTGCACCCTGCCAGCATCCACACAGGCAGGATGGCTTTCATTAAAGGATATGTGGGCCACTGTTACAGTATATCTTAATTTTTAATTTGAGCATAATCAATAATAACCTATCCTAACTTGATCCATCAAAACATTATCCAAAACACAATGACATAACGAGATAACAAAGTTAAACCAAACATTACACATAACATAACAATACAAGCCATGCTAACTAATGTGACTTAACCTAATCAATCCATAGTAGCATACCATAGCAAATAATGATTACATCATTAGCACGACATAATGTAACATCACATCACATAAGATAAGATAATGTCAGAACTTAAAATAACCAAACCTAATCTAACTTGTATAGTAACATTTTACACTGTAACATAAAATAACATAATAATTTAACCAATACCCTAATTTTACTTATAACACCATCTAACCCATAACAATCTAACCTCAGTTAATATACCAATAATCACATAATGTTATATAACATAACAAAGCACAACACAGTATAAAATCACATACGATTAAACAATATGACATAATCTTACATGATAACCTAATTTATATACCTATAATATCCATAGCTCAACATAACTTATAATTACTTATTACACAGCTTCGGTCAATTTGGATATTTCAGAGGTTGTTAATACTCGTTAACACACCACTGCTAATACAATATACCGATAATAACATAATGGTGTATAACATAACAAAGTAAAGCACAACATGATTCAACCTAATTATAAACTCACCTAACTTTACCTGATATTCCCATTATAGAATAACACAACATAACATCATATCACAATATTTGGATAGATTGTAATGGTATTCATTTATATATCTCTATTTCTTTATACCACTCTCTTCAAGCACACCACTGAGCAAATTCACTAAAAACAGAATGGCCATAATCATTTACCAGCAAGCAATGTCTTAAAATAGCCGAGCTTTCTCTCCTGTCATCTAAAGAGCTTATTATGCAGGGGAAAAAACATCAAAATCCTGACAGATGGGGCGATGCATCTTAACAGAGCACAGCCGATCAAAGACATCTCTGCATTCTTTGTTTTTGGTTAAGCATCCCTCCTACCGTGCCCTGTGATACCATCTCTGTTATTTTGCGCTCCTGCCAAGCCATCTGCATTTTCATCTTTTGCTTTCCATCAGCCCTTATCTGTGTCTCCTGATGACTCTCCTTTCTTCATTTTCTCAATGTTCCTCACATCTTCAAAACCACTTTACCTGTTTACATACCTGCCAACAATGCATTTAAAAAACGTACTTACTTCCTTTCCTATGCTTGCTAATACTCTCCAATGAACTTCTCCGCTGTAGTTACTCCTTACTTTCAATCCGTTATTTGTATATTCTTGTGAAACCCCCTGACCACCACCACTTAATCTGTCTCTAAAGGTTTAAACACTCCTTTTCTTTCACTTACCATCATGGTTTGGGTTCCCTAGGGTCCATGGCTCATCTGAATCAAAGTGTGTGTCCCCTCCTATGCCTGGGCCCGGAAAATAGGCGTGGGCGAGAAATCCCCCTTCCCCATCGAAGGGAGAGCTGTCACCATGAAAACCCGAAGCGAAGATGATGGTGATGTCCACGTCACGCCTGCCAGTCTCCAGAGCGCTGTACGGAACGGCCTCAAAGCGTAGGGGAGTCACACCCTGCCACACGTCAAATGCTCGCCGGATGGCATCGTGAGTCTCCCTGGCGCCCACCTTAGGTGTGACATTTTTTATGCTGTGGGAAGAAAGAAAGCAAACGGAATAAAGTATCTGCAACAAGGGAGATGATACAAAGCTGACAAATATAAAAGCTTTTTGGCATCGTTATTAAAATGCCAATGTTAATTAAGTTTGATTAAAAAGAAAATAAACCTCAGTAAATTGCATTCCACATGGAAAATATTGAGCAGGTTCATATGGTGCATTCACAGTGAAAGATGTACAGGAATCGTACAGTATTATGGCGACTATGGGGAACAAAGCAATCAGCAAAAGCCAAAATAAAGTATAAACTGCATCAACCCTGCGCCTTGTTATTCCCTTCAACTCAAAGGAAAATGTTTTACTGTTATATGGGGAGAAAAGTTGCACTTGACACAAGTATTTCAAGCCCTGCAGCTTTTACTGAACTTTTAACACTGCAGTCGTTATCAGTCCCTAGCAGGCAGGGAGGAATGGGAAATCTTCTCCCTCTCTCTCCTCTCATTTTGGTGAATAAAGTGCAGTCAGCAGCAGCGTTGGCTCAACACTGATTGACATTCCATTAGGAGAGGTGGCTCATCAATTCAAATTCGTGCAGGAAGGAAGGATTTGAATAAATTGACAGTGTTATCGTCCATTACTGCTGTAACCTGTCAATTTGCAGTTGTGCCAGAGAACCGTTTATCAGGACCACTCAGAACCTATTAAAAAGCTGCAGCTTATTTAGGCGAGATAAGATGAGAGTTTTAATATTTCCGCTGAGTTCACGTCCAATTTACACTCAGGATTTTAAACTGTTTTTCTATGAGGGAGAGGAAAGCCTCAATCTTCATGCTCCTCACCTAAAACTGTTATGTTTTGTTAAAAGAATACATAGAGAAGGATTAAAAAAAAAAACCTGCCTGATTTCATTTTGCATTTTGCCAGCAAGCTATTTATAAACCAGAAAGTAAACATAATCATAGCACACAAGGGCGCATCTATTTGTGAATCTGAACGTGTGATGTTGATGATATTTTGGTGTGTGTGTGTCTGCCACCAGCATGTGTGACGTATTTGCACTGTCTCTATGACAACTCAGAGCGTGAGATCCCAGGTGGTTAAAGAAGAGGAAGTGAGAGACAGGCTGAGAAAAATTAACACTGGCAAATCTGAAACCTGCATTAGAGGCTAAGCTCAATGGTCACCATGACAACTGTCTGTACTATCTCTCACCTGTAGGTGATGTGTGTACGCTGCCACTTCTGTCCTGTCAGTGCGTATCTCCGCTTCCGTGACCTCGCAGCAATCTTAAACTTGTCCGGTACTCCACAGCGAGGCTTTTGCATCCAACTTAGAGAAGAGAAGAGAGGCGAAGAGAAGGTGATATAAGTTTGCAAAATATAAATTAGGAGGCATCACAAGAAAAACAAAAGTGTACTTAGTAGTTCTCTTGGTGGACATTGAAACAGCAACAAAACATAAAGGAAGTGGTGTGCAAAATATATCACTAAAACTACTGCAAACTACAGTCATCAATACAAGTGCAGGATTTCATTCTCAATGAGTGCTGAGAGAAAATCAACTTTCATGTTTTCTCATTCATAACACATGAGATTATCACAAGTACAGAACACACATACTTTGACACATAGGCAAAACATTAATTCTCACCTCAGTGTGATATCACTGCATCATCATGCAAAATGAGAAGAAGGAAAAGTGTTAAAAACCTTCGCCTGGGGTTGTTTCAGGCGAGGTGATGGAGGGTGAAATGATCAGCTCTATTTCTGGCCTTCACTAATTCATTAAAATATTGATTCCTTTTGCATGTTTAAATGAATGAGTGGAGCATTTGCATCAATGTGTCATCAATGGCCTGCCCCTCACAGTTTGAACAAGCACGTGTGCATACTCACTCCTTGGTTTTCTCATCCAGTGTCCCTGTGACATTGAGACCATAGACGCGCTGCATGGCAGCGATGGCTGAGTGCAAGGTTTGGGCCGAGCGCAGGACAGACATTCCCGGTTCTGTGCGGGGAAGGTAGCCATACCTCTGTAGCCATCCCTGCAAAAGGTGAGAAGTCAAAAATATTTGGGTCTTCATGTAATGCTTATTTCAAGACTTACTTTACCCTTTTTAAGATATCTTGGATACAGCAGGAATAATGACATGAACATAGAGTAGAATGTGATAAGCAATAACATGTGTATTATAAAATAGCATCCTGGATATTATGCATTTGCGTTTTGCAAGTTTATTCAGATAATTAATTAGTTATCAACTACAATGTATGTATCAACAGAGCTGTCAAAAGTGAAAGGATATCAAATAAGCTGCAGCAACTTTGAGTCTGATTATGTTTGGTCCCAGATGTAACTTCTTCAATATATACTCTTTTTCAGAATTCATATTTCACTTGAAACTCGAAGGCATTCTGGTTCAAATACAAACCACATATATTCATTGGGGTAGCTAACTCGAGGGTACAGTAGCTGTTTAATGAGGGCAAAGTACTATTTGTTTAGTTACCCTACCGAGTATTTCCCAGTAAGAGGCCAGTCCCATAATAGAAATCAATAAGAAAATAACTGCAGGGCAATTATTCTGCATTTCACAAATGGCTGTGAGAGGACTAACCATTAGTACTTAATTATCGCAAGAAAGCCAACTGCAGTGAGAATCAGCTTCTGTGGTTATACTTAATGTCCCAGAAGCTTCAACAAGGTGCTTCATATAATTTGCAGGTTAATAATCTATTGTATGTCTTTCCAGCCATGGTTTTAATGTGTCTGTGTATACTTGCTCAGAGGCTCCTTGCACATCATTGCGACTGTTTGCATTTGAATCTCTTTTAGTGACCTTAGTCAGTGTTTATGTCCTGGGGCTGCTCTCTTTTGCCCTGTACTTGATACAGAGAGTTGGAGCCCGGGCGTCATGCAGGGGTCATTTCTAGATTCAATCCTGATGCTGGGAGGCCACGAGGTGGCCACGCCATGCACAGCTGTCCGCACGCCACCCAGCTGCCTCCACATCACTACAGCCATGAGATATGCTCCAGCTAGCTAATCTGACTAGCTGTCTCCTCTGTCCATCCCTCCCCCTTCTGCCTCTATCCCTCTTTCTGCTGAGCTAAACGCCTTGTTTATCCTTTTTTCCCTCTCTCCTGTGGGCGTGTTTCCTGTGTGTGTTGTGTTGTTCCAAAGGCACAGATCTCAAATAGATATTGGGCAGATTTCAGTCATCCATAACATTGAATAATGATGTGTTTGTGTGACTGTCAGCCTCAGCATTTTTTTTTTCAGAGTAGTGTAAGTGAGCCAGAGGTGAGGAGGAAAATGACATCAATTAATTAGGTACAACAAATCCTATTATGCAGCTTGTGTGTGCATATTTGAATATCCTTTTAGCACTGTGATGCTGCTAAAGAATGTCTGACTGAAAGCTGGCCTGTATAACAATATCCAGCAGTGAAAGCATCACCTCTATTAAAATAGACTCTTCTCTGGGTGGCACATTTAGGATCACTGGGCTAAATCAGCTCAGCACACGGACCGCAGTGTAATAAAATGAGCACCCTTCTGTTTCATTGCACTCTACAAATGAGGAATGCGCGCTATGTTCGCCGTTCAGTGCGTGAGCTGTGCTGATAGGCTTACAATGTATGCATGTTATGCATTATGGTAATTGTTCCCACGGATAGCATTGGGAGTCGATGCATAAAAACATATATGTTTTTCCCGCTGAGGCACATGATGTGGAGGAGAGAGCACGGTCATTTATGATAACCGGGGAGGGAAGGCCATTCATCTTACCTCAACGCTGAACTGATGATGATCCTCCTCTCCGGACACAGCACACGAAATCCAAAGCAAAAAATGCAAGCAGAATGCTGCCGCGTAAAAGCAATCCGATGGTTTTCTTTTACTGGAGGATACTAAGGTCATAATGACCTGTTTTTCCCGAGTGTCTATTAGAAGAAGCCGCCCGTCTGCTTTGGCTCCTGTGTCAAATTAAAAGCATCAGGCGAGCTGTCAAGGCAGATTCACATGAAAACGAGAAAAGGCCCCAGCGTTTTGTAAAATCCCGATGGTGGCTTCAAATGTTCCGATGTCAAGCAGAGATAACGAGACATATTATGTCCGCTGCCCTCGCCATTCCTATTTACATCAGGGCTACATCTATCCAGCAGCATCAATGGCCATGTACAGTACCCAGTCTGCGCAAGATAGGCTCCCTCCCGACTCCACGCCTGCGCTTTGATTTCTCACACAGCGCATCGCCGCTTGGCAGCATCATGAGAGCTGCCCTACAGAGTACAGGAGATGAATTGCATTCCTCAGAACTGCCTATACGTTTGACTTTCACATTGCCACGTCCATGTCTCTGTGCACTTTGAAGCACACATGTGCAGTCAGATGGTTTTATCTTAAATTCCTGGTAGTAAACAAAGGGGCCGCTGCAGCCAGATTATGGACTGATTCCTAAGCTTGTGTCAGTGCACAAAACGATTATTTAGCGGTTTAAAAAAAGTATATTTTTGTACACTGACAGATTTAGGTAGCAAGTCTATAATTAACAACATGTTGTATGCACCTTTCAATAATCAATTATCTGATTTTAGTCAGCAGCTTGTATGTGCAGATTTTTGACATCAATATATAAGCTAATTTAACTTGAAACATCTGCCCCACCCCTGTGTTGCGCTCTGGCCTGCAGACCCAGAACAGACAACCTAACAGCTTCCTAAGACATTTATAGCTCCTACATCTCTTTATAGCCCAGATATACAACAACGTGCCTGAAGCAAACGAACCACGAGATGGCGATGTTTCCTTGAGGAATATGGCCGTCAGCTGTTGAGGGCACAGGACACACCACAACCTGAATGAACCCCACATGAACCAATGAGCCGAGAATTTGACATTGATTTGATGTGATTGACAGACAGTCAATGTGAAAAGGAGTGAAGAACAAACTATAGACAGAATTACACAACAAGAACGTTTTTAACTTACAATAATAAAATCCTTCCAAAAACAAGAAGCCATTTACTCATCGTCATGTGAACGATGACTTTAAATCTGGAGTTGCCCTGGAAAGAGGTTGTCTACCTGCAGATAAATCAACATTTCACCTGATTACATCCATGATCTCATTCCATCAATCACTTGTACAACAGAGAGTTGGAATGAACATCATCTGCCAAGCTGACACATTTGTGGTTTGGCAGGTTTCTTTTGTGTCAAATGCAAATTTGCACTTGAAGCCAGTCTGCTACCGGACAATCTTAGTGACTCAGAGTTTCCTGTAGCTATGGACACTTTCTCAACTCAGACTTGAATGGATTAAAAGGACTGTCTGTGCCAACCTTTACCGGAAAAGTATGGCATCAATCCACACACCCTAAACCAGAATGTGCACCAAACCGCTTCAGTGGATTCTAGTCAGGGCCGCCCCTGGCCAACTTGGGGCCCCAAGCAACATTGTGAGATGAGCCCCCCCACCCCCCATTATAATCATAATCATAATCAATTCAATAATATAAAAACTATATTATTTCATTATAATATAGTTGTAATCAAGACAAAACATGCTTATGACATGCTCAAAAACTGATATCTCTTAAATCTGTATTCAAATGTAGTTCAATCAATAAATCAATCAATCAATCAATCAATCAATATTTATATAGCCCAATATCACAAATGTTACATTTGTCTCAGTGGACTTCACAGTTTGTACAGAATATCAGTATGACAATACGACACCCTCTGTCCTTAGACCCTCACATTGTACAAGGAAAAACTTCCGGAGAAAACCCACAGTTTAAAGGGAAATATGGGAGAAACCTCAGGGAGAGCAACAGAGGAGGGATCCCTCTCCCAGGACGGACAGACGTGCAATAGATGCCGTGTGTAAATTGAAAAGATAATACATTTGCAACATAGGTAGTCCAAATGTTTGGAAATGCATGTGTGTATAATAGGAAGATGAATCCACGAGGATATCCATCCAGGACTTATGATCCAGGACCACAGCCACGACTCAAGATCCAGGACTCGCGATCCATTACACAGGACCGCAGGATCATCCATGACTCCGGATCCCGGCGTATATAGACACCAAAAAGAAAGAAATTTGGGGAAGCTGGGTTAATCGGAACATGAGAGTACACAGGTATAGACAGAGAGAAGTAGTAGACGGTTCGACTGTGTAAACACCAAACCGTCCAAAGAAAACACAGTTTACGTTTAAACGTGAACTTCGGTCAGACGATGGCCTGTTAGAATCACTGAGTCTCAAAGGACATCGATACCTGTGAAAGAGTTGAGTCTGAACTTACCTAATTTTCCTGACAGACACGGTTGGAAATGGCCTTTTCATACCGTAGTTAGGTGTGTGGGATTTGGTCTTACACGTGGTTTGGCGAAGTCACCTAAGATCAGTCCCGGCGGGGACCGGTTGAACCCCGGGGTTCGTTGTAACACTCTACTCGGGGGGGTGGGGGGTAATATTAGTATTAGTATTAGTTAAGTTATTATATTTTTGATATAATAAAGTAATATTATATCAACATTAGTTCTGTTTTGTACGAATACTGTACGAGTTTTTGACTATAGAGAATTTAGACATAAGTTTACATCAAGTTAGTTATTTAGTTAGTTAGTTAGTTAGTTAGTTATAAATATATCGGGTTATAGTGTTTACAATGTAAACAGAGTCACCTGAAGTGTCAAACATGTCTTATAGTCATACTGTTATGCTGTGGGAGACAGGAATCTGGGAGTGTAACATGTTCCTTTTTGAAGGCCTCTTTTGGGTGTCAAATTTCCCTTTATACCCTCTTTGGAGTCCCTCTCGTTGTCTCCTCCCTAGGGAGAGGGTCCTGCCTGTCTGCACGTTATCTACGGCACACATTTAACTTTTCTATTATGTAAACGTTGTATCCATCAGGTTTACAAACCTTTACGTACACACATATTATCCTTCTACTTAGGTGCTCCTATAGGTAGGTCCTGAATACTAGGTCCTGGTGTCGGTGCTGAGTTCTAGGTCCTGAGCGCTAGGTAATGTGTCCTGGCGTCCTAGTAGGTACTGAGGCCTAGGGCCGCATATATCTGTGGTTTTTCTTTCTTTAAACCCCTTCGACCCAATTAGCCTTGTACTCTCATGTGTCCATATCTGTCTCTCTTCTTCGTTCTTCACTTCCCACAGGGGGGCTGTTTGATTCCGGAGTATAGTCGGTTTTGATCCCCGACTTAGATTAGTCGGGAAATGTGATATGCAAAATAGTTTTTCCTTTCAGAATTCGCCGTGAGAATTTTTGCCTATCGCCCCAGACGGCAGGCCGGTTGTTTGACTTTGCGACACAGGTGTTTTCACCCCCTCGAACATTCCCTTTTCCGAGACCCGACGCGTAAATGAAAACTTCTCTGAGAGCCCCTTGTTGGGGTGTTGGGGACGTAGAACCCTTTGCGGTTACGGGGATCAATCCTGTTCCATCCATTTACGTTCAAGAAATTTCCATACTCCGCCGCGGTAATTCCCCAAAAAATCCGCTCTTCTTCCTTAAAATTTACAATCAAGGACACAAGATATAACATCGTCACATTATACGTCGAGCAATGTACCTACACCGGCAAAAGAGAAAAAGACCAATAAATGTGCTTCGACGATCGTACATTAGTCAATCACTGACGACGATGGAATTAATCTCTCTGTTTGGCGCTCTAGGTAATAGGCGGCCTAACGCAGGTTCTTACGACCCCCACAAGGCTACACAGAGAATTTTCAAATGTTAACGTCCGGTCACCTCTCGGATGAGTCGAGGGGTGAAACACCTTAGCGAGGTCACCATGCAACTGCCGTCTGTGAGGGAGCAATTCTATACACCGAATTCTGAAAGGACAATTTTTTGCATTCAAATCCCGACTAACTAGAATCGGAAGGATAACGAGCTATTCCGAACAAACAGCACTGTGAAAAATGAGAGAGAGACCAGNAGCCATCGGACCATCAGCAGATTAACATGACATCTGTCACCCAGTGGGATCAGAGTGCCTCATGCTTTATTTATTCTCTCAGGGGGACTTAACTGCATGTGTGTGTGTGTGTGTGTGTGTGTGTGTGTGTGTGTGTGTGTGTGTGTGTGTGTGTGTGTGTGTGTGTGTGTGTGTGTGTGTGTGTGTGTGTGTGAGTGTCAAGCTACTTACTGCAAGCTCACCGCCCCAGCAGCTCTCCTCACCCTGCCTAATGCATTTCAAATTTTATCAATTAAAAGCAACAACAGCTTCAATAAAACTCAAAACAACAAGTTTCTGCAGCGTGGCGTTCATAGCATCATCCTCCTGTTTATTGTATTATGGATAACACCGCATAAATGTTGTGTTGAGCAGATATTTTGTCAACGAGGTGTCACATCTGACCTTTAAAATCTTGTGAACAGGAACACACTTGACTGAGCTGAGAGTGTTTTGCGTGGTGTGACTTTTTATGTCATCTTCATCATAATGTCTTCGTCCCAGAGCATCATAATTCGTTGTGTTTATTTTAGGAAACCGTTTCTGGGTCTTCAAGGACACGACTCTCCAGCCTTCGTACCCTCAGGACATCTCGCTGTTCGGGAGCGGCATGCCCACTCAGAGCATCGAGACAGCCGTCTGGTGGGAGGACGTCGCCAAGACCTACTTCTTCAAAGGAGACAGGTCTGTGACTAACGGTTATCAGCACTGATGTGAAGTTAAGATGTTTGGCTCTCTGGAGTCTCTGAGAGCAGACAAAGTGCTGTGAGGATCAATCAAGGCGGAAATCTTGATTAAAATCTTTTGATTAAGCCGATAAACTGATTCTGTTTGACCAAATTGTATATAAACAGGAAGTTAAGGAGTAGATATTACAGATTTATTTTATTTGTCAGCCCTTTTTGGCTCCTTATAAACACATCTTGTCAGTGTTTGGTGTATTTAATGATTTTGTGAGGACAGTTTCCCATGGAATATTTAATTATTTAGCAGGTTTTTAATTCAGTTCACGTTGGCATAGATACCGTAGCTGTCATCTCTGAAGCAATGCAAGCTGTCACATTTTGCACTGAAAACACTGATTGCCTATTTAACAGCTAACAAAATGCTGCTAATTGGCATTCAACCCAATAAGACCCAATAAGAGTAACACATGTGATGGGGATTGTAATACTTGAGAGTTTTTTTCGAGTTTTCCCCGAAACAGCAGAGGATGTGTTGTTTACCCGTGTGCGTGGCAATGATGTTAACTTTTGAGAGATGGCAGTGTGACTCACATGTTTGTTCAGCTGTCATGATAAATCTTATCCGAGGAGGTCAGTGGATGGATGGTGAAAGCTGTCAAAATGCTTTGTCATGATACTGTCATCCCTCAACCTGCTGCTGCACATCATGACAAACAGGAGGTTTTGTCCATCGTCTCAAACACGAGTGCCTCTCTCTCCCTCCCTCTGCGACAGGGTGCTGTTTGTTCTAATTCAAAGAAATGTCACTGCATAGCAAGATTTATGTGTGTGAGCATCAGCGTATGAGAAGCAGATCAATCAAAAACAACCCCTGAAACACATTTGCCAGGCAGATAAACACAGTGTGGATGATGGATTGACCACTTTCTCTGGTCATGTGGATCAAGTCAGTTGCAGATCTTTTAAATGTTCAGATTAGGATATTTTTTAAATCTCGCTGCAAGCTACAGATAAAATATGGCTGTGAACACAGTGTGCAGATGTTCAGTGCCATGGTGCAACCTTGATATTGTATACTTCCTTTTTTAAAGCTGTATATAGTTAGAGAATAACATCTTCTTAACTTAGAAGGCTTTTCTATCTGAGCAATATGAAAAAGAACTGCCCTCACCTTGCTAAAAATCCGTACTCAAAGGGTATGTACTGATAAAAGCACCGGTATCATCACAGAAAACATCATAACAAGCATTGGAGCATCAATAATTGATATTTAGTTTTGATTTTGTGTAATAGCATAATTAAATCGTTGGAGTAACAAAGCCATCTACTCTTATATAACAAATAGATTATGTTTGCATCCAATCAGCTTCTTCTACTCTTTTGTTATGTATATTTCTTCTATGAAATGTGTTTCTTCACTGCATAGACACCTGAAAAGCCTTCATTTGGGAGACCAAAAGCCTTTCTCATTTGCTTGACATGACTGTTTTGGCAACTCAGCCCTTGTTTGAGTTCCTGTGCAAGGGTCTTGGCATGATTTGATAGTGGACAGGAATAAACTGAGGAAGTTAGTATATTATAATAATAAGTACTTATATTTGTATACTCCAGGGATTTACAAATAGCCGTGTCTGCTTAGCGTTGATGAATTTAGCAACTGTGTCCAGCTGCCGGATTAATTAAACTCTCATCACTGAGCTGATTTGTGTTTCAGTGTGTGGATTTGTGCATAGTTACAAGAATGTGTAATTTTCTCCGAACGACCCGGATCAGGGGGTCAGGTGTTTTACAGGCCCATGTCACTCACTGACGCTACTTCTGTCTGTCCTTTTGTAGGTACTGGAGGTACAATGAGGACATGAGGACCATGGATCCAGGTTATCCCAAACCCATCACCATCTGGAAGGGCATTCCCGACTCTCCACAGGGGGCCTTTGTGGATAGGGCCAATGGTATGTCAGCTTTAATGACCGTGTAACTAGTCAGTGAGATTGGATTGAGAGTATTTACACACTGGCAGTGCAGCACTGTTGTTTCTAAGACAGAGTGACATTTATAAAACATGAAGAGCAACACTTAACTCTTGTACAGAGATCCAGTTTGTCTGGTATTTGCTTTTATCGTTTTTAGTCCTGAATGCAACAACATGACAGAAGGAAAACAGGAAGTTGACTGAACAGCGTCTTTTTTCTGGATACATTTTCCGTGAATATATTTAAACCGGTGGAAAATCTCTGCTTTAAAACACTTATCAGAAGTGGGAGAATCTGCACATATAAACTTTTCATAAGGGAGTGATAAACAAAAAACACAATGCAGACACTGCAGCTGCACAACACCAGTCGCAACAAATAGTGGATCCATAGAAAATGCATTTTGAATATCAATTTATCAATGGTTTACTTGATGAGGTTCTACATGATTTTCTGCTTGTTTTCGTAATGGATGATAGTCATTTTTATATAGTTTTGTTATCTCATAGACTATACGGTTAATAGTAATGAAAGAACATAAATAAAAAGTTCAGGCAATTCAGATCAGCATATCCATGTATTTCTCCTTTAGGAACTTTGACTCTTCTCAATTTTTTCTCCAATCTTGTTTGTTACAAATACAATGTTACTGTACTTTTCATTACTTTCAATACAACTCTGTAGAAACCCAAAATGAATAGCCTTATTTTTAAGCAACCTAAAGCACGCATCGAGTAATTAATCTCTTTCTTTCACATAAAGATTCTGTTGAGAGACATCAGAATAAGAATCAGCTTAATTGGCCAGGTATGAGTACTGTGAATTTGACTCCATGTTGTTCATTGTTGCTATCTATATAGAAATTCAGCTAAAAAAAAAAAAGGACAATAACACATAGTCACTATTGCATGCCAAAGTGGTACATGCAACTGCACTGTATATGTATAAAAGTGAATTTGCTTTGTCCCATAATACCTCCCTGCAGGTTTTACCTACTTTTACAAGGGCAAGGACTACTGGAAGTTCAACAACCAGCTGCTCCGCGTGGAGCCCGGCTACCCGAGGTCCATCCTGAGGGACTTTATGGGCTGCGACGGGCTACCTGCAGACCCCGACTGGGACTGGAACCCCCCGGTGGCCGAGGAGCGCCACTACGACAACGGTGACGTGGACGTTGTCATCAAATTGGACAGCGCTGGGGGCACGGAGAAAGCCGTGGCCATCGCCATCCCCTGTGTCCTGGCGCTGTGCATGATGGTCCTCCTCTACACCGTTTTCCAGTTCAGGAGGAAGAGCACACAGCGCCACATACTGTACTGCAAGCGCTCCATGCAGGAGTGGGTCTGAGGGGCTGTTATCACTCTGTATAGAGAGGGGGTGTGAAGCTCTGATAGAGGTCTAGCTATTACTTGAAGCCCTAAGTACAGTAATTGGAAGCACTGTAAAGGGTACAGTTCTTAAGGATTGCCATGTTGGCAGATTTGAAAGCAGCTTGAACTCATAACAAGCTGCAAGGAAGCGAAGCGATCAGCAGAACTCAACTGAAGACATTAAAGGAGCCACATCTCCTGTTTCCAACTAATATGTATGTATCTGCTTTGACTTTTTTTCTGTATCTTGGAATGAACTAAATTAAGTGAGACAGAGTTAAGCTACTGTAAGTGGGACCTTTGTCTATCCTCGTCTCTGCACGTCGCTTAAAAAGCCCCTAGCACTAACTTCAGTGGACAAATTAGAAATAGGCTTTACTTTCAATTCTTAATTAAAGCGCTCTGAGCTGTGCTTTTTTTCTTTCATTTAGTGTCCCCATAAAAGATTATTCATTGTGTGGAGGACTGATACACAAACCAAATATGACCTTTTCTTCCAAAGAGGATTACTGCTCAATTTTGTTTTTGATGGGATGTTTTTTCCTCCATTGATCGAACATTGTTGCATCATACTCCGATTTTCTTTTAGCCATCGGCATTCACATCCACTCGTCTGCTCTGTAATCTGTGTCGATGGGAAGCAGCAGTTAGTAAGAGCTTGGAACTCAAGACTGTTGTGGCAGTGTATCTCCAAAATGGGGGCCAAAAACCTCTCTGCAATATTTATGAGACTGCCTTAATCACAGAATGCTTAAACTCCCTTCCCTTTCTCTCTGTTTCTCTGGTGTGGAAGCTGAATAATAAGTGACACAGTAGGAACACAAACAGTGCATTCATTGCTGCCCATAATGCAACTGCAAAACTAGAAGTATAGGACAGTTTCAATCCACACCCGGGTTCATTACTCTTGAAAATGTGCTAAGCAGTGCTAAATACCTGATGGCTAGCAGGCCATCAGCTTTCATTTACTGCTCCACCTGAGGGTATGAGAGAGAAAGTGAAGGCTAGTTGTGTGTGTGTGAAACAGACAGTAATTACCCACACTATAAATGTAATGTAGTGTCAGTTATCGAACAGTTACCATCCTGCTTCCCTTTTTCCTGGCAAGTTTGGACGCTAATACTCCATACGGTGTCAGGCCATGCATTTTAAACAGCTTTCTTTTTCAACTTTTGTACAAGGTTTACATTATATTTCACAGAGCACGCAGAGAGTTAGTGGAAGAAAGAGAACGTATACACACAGTACGTTTCATTAATCACTGCATATGGTCAGTGCTTTTGCCCAGATTGCTCCATCTTCTCACTAAGTTATTGCGAATAGTTTCTGTGAAAATGCAAAGTAAACAAAACATTAAGAAGGAAACACACATCTAAAACAATAACAGGATATAATCTGCATAAATAAAGACACTTAGGCAAATTATTGTCTGCATTTTCGAGTTCAATAATAGAATCAGGTTGTTCAATGCACTGTAAACACATTTACTATTATAACTATTAACAACTTACTAATAAATGCTTATAGAACTACTCTAACATTGGAATTAACAAAAACAGAACTAGCAAAACTAAGTCTGATGACAAATATGTTACATATATATCGTGATCTATGAATATGCCTTTAGATGACATATGTTTCAAACTGTTTAATCAGCTGATTATGAGAACCAATAATATAACATTAAAAAGCAGACTCTCTTTCACGTGAGTTGGAGCAAAGGATTTTTCCCCATCCCCATGTATTGTATGATGAATGCAATACACAGCCTGGATCCTAATGAAATACATTGTCCTGCAATTGCCTTTGATTGTTGCCATACATGTAACAATGTGGTTGTGTGGTGTAGCGTTTCTCAGAGTTCGCCGGATGTCAGTGAGCATTCATGATGTGATTTTGTTTTCCTATAAATATTCGTGCTTTGTTACTCTTTTACTTGAAATGGTCATCAACATCAACTGTACAGGATATCCGACATAATCTTTAATATCAAGGCAAAGCTATTTTAATGCCATATCTCAGAAGAAATTAAGAGATTTTAACATGTCTATAATCAATGAATTATCTAAAGAAGGGTTAAGGGGTTGGATCTTGATTGATGGGTTGAACCTTTATTAGATGTGGTTTTATCTTGTCATCGTTGGTAAGGGATAAAAACTTTAAAACCTATGGGCAATGCATGCCGTTGTAAAACTAAGATGTCATTCTTTCATGGATCATTCAGACACTCTTCTTCTGTTCAGTCTCTCCCATTGTGACTGAGCAGCACTGCAGGTTTCTGTTGGATGCGTTGACACATCCAAACTGTCATCTTTTATAAAAAACTAAATGTGAAATTACTAGCTTCCAACCGGTCCTCCCTGTTCCAATCTTCAGTCGATTGTCAAACTGATGAAAGAAAATGTACGCAGGCAGGAACATCTTTCCTAAAGCAGTGCTGAATTGCAGCACGAATCACACCATGTTGATCTACGACCCACTGTAATTTAAGGCGGAAGAAAAACCCTCGGCTCAGTGTTGTGTGTGATGTCTTATCAGTTTTGTGTGTTTGTGGTGAGGCTCTGATGGCTCCAGCGAGAGTGAATTAAAGATGGCCACTGATGCGAGTCGGTACTGTATTTATTGCCGTATTTATTCCTCTGTGCTCAGCACCACAGATCTTGCATTGCATTGTACTGAGGACAAGAAGTGGGTTTGAAATGACACGTTTTTTTTCTACCACTCCCATGTAATTGTCCACCTTCTGTTACTGCCTAAGCAACAAATGATCTGCAGCGTAGGTTTTTTCCAATCTTTGAAAGGTAAATCACAAACTTGAAAAGGTTACATATACGAAATGCTCTTTTTAACACCTGAATCACTTGAATAACTTGACATTTTAGATGTGAATTAAGTGCAAGGTGGAAGTGTCAATGCTCTGACCTGTCCCTGTTTATCTTCAGACTCCTCCAAGGTTTTTTTTTGTCTGCCTTGACACACTGCATAGCATTCAACTAATTTAAAGTGTTAAAGGAAGTAGATGAGACTGATTAGACAGCAGTCGATACATCAGAGAGACAAGGGTACGGACGAGACAGGGGACATTTTGCAATCATTTGCCGTCACAATCTTGTATACATGAAGTATATATATCCGCAAGGCATAGTGTATGAGAAGTAAACATTGCATAATATGTACATAAAGAGTGTATATTGTCTGCTTGGGAGGATTTTGTTTTTAAAGTCATTCATTACATGGATAAAGAAAACGCTGTGTGTTGTAAATAAAACAAGTGCATAAAGAGTGTCTCCTTGTATCATGCTCTCACAAAAATGTGCGTTAGATAAAAGCAGAAAACATCTATTAAAGGGTTGGTTTAACCAAATTACAAAGTTAAAATAGGAAACAAAGTAAAAAATACCTCTAAATGTATTTACCAATGCAGATAATGTGATTAACTTACCAATGAATTTACACATTTGTTCCAAGGTATCAGCCAAATTATCAAAACAAAGGTGATTTGAAGATGTTCTTAATCTCTTTTCAATTCCTGACATTCATTTGTTGACATCACATCCATGATGCTGAAGCTTTTATCCGAGGGAAACCGTAGATGAATTCCTGATATTGTTGCAGGAGCCATCCTTCATTTGTTGCATGTTTGTGATTGCTTCGAGGGGCACATCGCCTCTTTGCAGGTCTCTCTGTGGCCTGGTGCTTGAGTCATTCCACTTCCTTTTTTGAGTAAAAACAGACAGAAAATAGTTTTGAACACACATAACATAATTCTCTCTGAAACACTGCTGTTAGTAGTTATGGTACATCAATAAAATAACTTCTGCTTTTATTCAATTTAATTAGCTCAACAGTTATTTTGTCCTGATTATCCCTTATAATGTAGGTGGTAATCAGTATTCACTTAATATTTAAATGGTTATGATTATTATTTCAATTATTAATCAGAGTTCCAAATTGATAGTATGGTTTATTTTCTGAGAATACCTTAACCAATAATTATCTTAAAAAAACACAGTTTTTCAGATTTACATTTTAATGCTTTTTCAGACTGCACGAAATAAGCACCACATTATTATCAACCCCTATTTATGATTTCATGAATACTCAATCAAAAATCAGTTATCACAAATACTTGTTATTAACCAGGCCGGCCCGATCCCAACATTATGTATGTAAAATGTACCACTGATTACATTGTAGATTTGACTATAGTCATTTGGATCGGTGGCATTCTTAGACTTTGTTGTGGAAGCAATCTGTAAAAGTATGAACAAAAGTAATGTTAAGAGATGTTATGGTACATCTAAATTTAAGATACAGAGAAATACATATAGTGGCCTTTGGCTGATAACAAGTAAACTCACCTTCATTCTGCAGAAGGCAGGGGCTGCAGGAGGGGGGAACTCAAAGTTAATTGCAGTAATTATGCGGGTGCTGCGGGATATATGTCTTATTTCAAGGTCTGTGGGGGACTCCGTTAATATCTGGCAGACAAAAACGCAAACACGTTAAGCTTGATAAGCATACATGACTCACTCTGCAACAGATCATTATTATTTGTAAGGAGTTTCCTTACTTCCAAAACATCTAAAAAAGCACTTGAAAACTAAAGTTGTAAGAAGTAGTTAATGTCAGAAATATGACACAAGTTTTCAGAGCCAGTATCATTTTAGCTGGTCACAGAGAAATGCCAAATTGTTCTCACCTCATACATGCACTTCTCTTGGCTGTCATCACACTTCTTTGTTTTCACATGGCTCACCACAGCATTGAACGGTTCAGAGCAGATATTGCAACTCTCTCTTTTATATTACTAAAACAACATTAAAGGCAACTAAATATCTTTATAATACTTCACCATATTGCTCTGCATAATGACGGGTCTATTTCTGAGTCGGCAGCCGGCAGCAGCTGCTGCAGTAAAGCTGAGGTAGTGAGCAAAGATCCATGATGATGTCTTAAGTGTTCAAACCCTTTGCTGTGAAGCCTTTTAAAGTTTACAGGAAACAATGCATCTTCATTGGTCACCTGCCTCAATAAGGGGGTGTAACTTAGAAGTGAAATAAATAAGAGCGGCCTCTCCTAGATGTTTCTAGATCCCGCTCTGGGGATCCCCGGTGGACAAGGGACTTGAAGTGATGATAGTGTAAAAATATACTCCATAAATGAAGTAATGATGTCATTTCATGAGCCCTTAATGTTTACTGGCACCTGGAGGCCACTGTCAAGTTGAAACCATTATGCTATTAGTTGTGGAGAAAAGACTTGATTTGATTGGATGACAAGAACAAGAGATGTGTTCATGGGATCTTGAATGGCACTCGTGGGATCTTTAATAGCCCTAGAAACAATAGAGTTATCACAAAGTTAATAAAGCACAGATAATAGATTAAGAAAATGTCAGAGTCAGGTCATGTGTGTCAAGATTTATCATTTCTTATGATCGTGCACATCCACAGCAACAAAGACTCATGCTCCTGATACCTGTCAGAACATGACCAGCGCAGGGGTCGGATCAGGTTTGAACCGAAGTCACATTCAGCCAGGTCACTCCTTAAAGGGCCCTGGCAAGCAGAACTGATGAGTCCTAAAGCTACAACATCTCAACAACTTGCTTTCTTTACTCTGAACAAGTGTTTGGTGCATTGGTACAGAGTTTGCTTCTTTTAACACACAAGCTAGCCTCTGTTTGACTGTGTGCCCCAACAAGGAAGGGGTTTATGGACAGGCAAGTTAGGGCTGCTCAATTCATCGTATTTTAATCGCAATTACGATTTTGGCCTGCAACGATTATGAAAACAACATAATCGAAAGAAAACGATTATTTATTTAATTTTAATCTTTACATTTTTTTTTTAAACTTTTTTTTTTAATTGGTTTTTCAGTTGAATTATACTTACAGTAAAGGGTAATCAACCGTTAAAAACATACTGTTAAACATTTTTTTTAATAAATTGATGTTTTCAAAGTAAATGGATAATCGTTTTTAATAATCGTGATATCAATTATTGACCCAAATAATCGAGATTATGATTTTTGCCATAATCGAGCAGCCCTAAGGCAAGTAACCTTACTGTCTCTTCTTATTTTCTAACAAGCATCTGTAAATACCGAAGCCACTTTTTCCAAACTTCCTGAACTATCAACATGCATCTTTGCAGTTGATCCCACCTCCAAAGCTCACTCAAACCAACATGGCATACCTGTTTAAATGTCTTAGACTTAGAATAACGATGGCAACAGGTGTATCATAAATGATTATCCTATAACTTTATATTAAAGTTATTTACTCGTGATATATTATAGTTATTTACTCGAAACTATTTCTGAAGATTCAGGCCCGCAATACAGCAATAGGCAATTACAACAAAGCTTTTTAACTGTTCTATCTTTGTTGAGGTGAGGGTCCTTCTGGTCTTCTTTTTTCTTGCATTTGGCCACACATTCTCATCAACATGAAATCTTACTTTATGACTTCCAATGTATCTTGGAGAGTAATTTGCAGAGAACTTCCTCTAAAATACAGTATACTAATACTGATAGTGTTTGCATGTTAGCATTGTTCAAATTAAGTATAGGACTACATTAAATGCAGCTACTCTGTAAACATTTTTTAACTGTTGTTGGTGTAGCAGATGTGAAAATTATAGACCCTTCTATTTTTCAAGATCTTGTTAATTACAGAACATGATGTGCATGAAGTAACTATAAATTATAAATACATAAATCATCTTTATTACTTAATATTATAGCATGTCTGATGGTCATTTACAAAACAGGAGACTGGAAATCAAAAACATTTAAATGTCACCTTTACCTCTAGTGATATCAAGACAAACAGGTATTTATAAGTTGTGCTCAAAGGAAAAAAGCATTGACACTCAAAAATGTCAAAGCCATATTTATTTCCGTGAACACAGTGTCTTGCTTTACCCTTTAGACCAGATTGTGGCGACTGTGGCTGTGAGGAAGTGCAGTCGTCTTTCAACCAGAAGGTTGTGGGTTCGATCCCAGCCCATGCAGCCAACATGTCGATGTATCCTTGGCCAAGATACTTAACCCTGAGTTGCTCCAAGCCATCGGTGTGTGAATGTGTATGAATGTTAGTTCCTAGTAAGCTACACTGCTCTGTATGAATGGGTGTGAATGGGTGAATGACATGTAGTATGTAAAGTGCTTTCAGGGGTTGTAAAGCACTATATAAGTACAGTCCATTTACCATTTCTTTTGGATCTAATTTCTAACAAACAGATGAAAATTGTGAACAGCATAATCTGGATTGTCCACAACAAAAGGCCCAGTTTTTGGACAGAGGTGTTTCAGTTGAAATGTCTTAAATGCAAAATGTAAAAGATGAGATGTTAGTTTTACCAGGAATAGATCTATGAGTTGAATGTATGAGTGAATGAGACATTTAACCACCTGCAAAAAAATAAACATTGTTTACATGTCTATAGCAGATAAATCAGAAAACATGGTGGTTTTTGTATCTTAATTGAGCTGACCTCGTGCTTTTTCTGTTTGTCTGTTTCCCACACTCCACTGGAATCCTGCGTTCTTAATATGTAATTTCAGAGGCACTATGGGTGATAAAAAAAAGTGACCTGTTTGAGTGTTTGTGCAATTCAAAATCAGAGGCATTTTATTACAGTAATTATAGACATTATCAGCGCACAACCACAAAGTCATACGCTTCATAAAATCAATCAAAACATTATTTTCCACATCTCATGACANACATTAGATGTGTCAAATACAGCATGAAAGGAGGAGCTGGGGTGTAGGTAGTTTACTTAGTAGCCTGCAGAGGAAACAGCCATTGTTTGAGGTTTTTGAGACCCAAGGACCCCCAACACAAAAACAGCTCCTAGTGCAAACAACAATCACTCCAACAAGGGAGTTGTTCATCTTTGGTCTGTCATTTGTACTATATTGTAACATCATGGTACATTTCCATTTTATGTCCAGCTATGGAAATTAAATTGCAGAACACTTCCTGATCAAACCTAGGTTAACCCTGTTACCCCCAAGTGTACAGTTTTGGGATCAACTGTGTCTGAATATTACTTATGTCACTGTCGGTTGTTTTGCCCCTATATTGAAAAGTACCTCACCTACAAACATTATGACAGTATATATTATATACAGTATAT